GCAAGGAGACCTTGTTTGACCAAGGATTCTGTAGGTTGTGTGTCCTCGAAGGTAAGTTGTAAATTGATTGTCCCTTCCCTGGTGGCGGTGTCTCTAGCCCCACCCTCCCCTGTAGACAGTTACGAGTAACAGTTGCCCTTCCCGCGAGGGCCCCACAGAGAACTCCCTCCGCCCGGTAGTAGCTTTCAGCTCTACCTTTCCAGGACTGTCGTGGCAAAGCCTGTATATTCAATCGTTGACTGTTTCCTACATCTTTAATAAATCTTTGTACGCTATTAAATATACCGGCTCTTCAACTTATTGGAGGACTATTACGATTAACAAGACCCTAGTGAATTTCAGAGTGTGGATACAATCAGGAGACAGTGGATATAGATGAACAATACGCTATCAAGAACTCCCAGTGCGCTTGGACTGTTACACATGTCATAGCTCCTGAAAAGTTTCCTGTGATAGCTACCGATAATTAGCGCACTATAGGAATGATATGCAGGGGGTTTATCAGATTAGTTAGGAAGGCATATGTGCTGTTCTGCTAAATCTGTTTCCCTAACGTTTGATCTAGGCAAGTTTGCGTTTTCGAGTCACCTCATATGGATATAGCCATGCTGGCCTCTCGTATCCTTTTCGAGAGCACTGGTTGACTGCTGAATTCTTGTCGATACACGACAAGCTGGCATAGATCTGGGTTCCTTTAGGCAATCAAGGGACGTTAATGAATCTCAGGCCTATTTAAATGACGCTTAGGTTTCCAAGCTCATAAACATTACTGACTGGCTACAGTTCGACTCGGATCTAACTCAGGATACTACGAGAAGACGACGTTTGGAAATCCAAAATGTTGCCTGCTCGTACTTATGGAGACCATCAGCGTTTCAAGGAGCGAAGCATCAGAAACAAACAAAACCGACGTTCTTCCCTTAAACGCGAAGTTCGTAGGTATATGGGGTTCAGGTTAAGATTAGGGTTATGGTTAAGGTTTGGGTTAACGTTAGGACACGAGAATATTTACCATTCCTGAAATATAGTACAAGGCCACCTGCATTACGAGGAGGGAGGGAGCGTTCCTATTCCCGAGCCGTCTTGGAGGCAATATACGTAACTCCAAACACGAAGTATTTTGGCAACGATAGGTTGTGTAACCCGGCATCGCAATCAGTAATAATAGGCTCGTGCAAACGGGAGTGTTGATAATAGGTTTTAAATGGTGGCGAAAATATGGTAACTAGTGCAAAAATTTAGAGGTAAAAATAGGGATAGTCCCAAATAAGATACAAGATGTTTAAGCACGCTATTCAGTTTATCAAGCAGCACACATCTTGACAAACGGTGTGTCGTAGCGATGTCATGGCAAAATGTTTGGCGAAGTGCCAGCAGCCGCCAAGGGAATGATTTCCCGAAACTGTAACCAATCGACGGTGGCTATTCATAATAAATAAGGTAATAATCAAATAATAAATAAATAGATATTAATTCATCTAATCATTTAACCGTTTGATTATAGGATAGCTAACAAACAGATAGCTATCTGATTACGTCACTGATGACGAATCCGCGACGGATCTCGAAACGTCAGGCGAGTAAAAGTATTGTCCCAGCGGTCGAGTTACCTTGTTCTCGGTTATATAATTCCCAGAACTAACTCTAGCTGGTAATCTCGAGCAAAAGTCATTATTGCTCCGCACAATAACTTAGACAATATCGCGCAATCCATAAATACCTTAAATTTTCATCGGGCCATTACATTTATATGAGAACGGGGTAAGAGTTAAACAAGCGGTCAATTATGTTCGTTCTTCCTTACAAGCGAGTCGCGGGAATCGGGGAGAAGGGGTCGATAAAAGAAGGATGGCTACGAGGGGAGGGTTTGGTGGAGCCAGTCTAGGGAAGGGGGAGAAGAGGGGGAGGGGAGGTTATTTTGCGCACATGACGGCGGCTTCTTCAGTCCCTGGGTTAACGCCTGCCAGCAAAATCAGAAGCGACTGCTATCAGGCTGAAGAATTCGGCGTTGTGTGCGCAAAAGAGCCTTCTACAAGCTCAACGTCTGGCATGGCCCACAGCCACTTAGCTGCATGTACTCGTCTGCGCTCTTTATGTCTCCCCCACCTTCCCCTCGTCTCCCCCTCCCCTAGACTGGCTCCGCCAAACCCTCCCCGCGTAACCATCCTTCTTTTATCGATTCCTTCTTTCCGATACCCACGACTCGCTTGTAAGGAAAAACGAACATTATTGACCATTTGTTTAACTTGTACCCCATTCCCATATAAATGTAATGGTCCGATGAGAATATATCGAAAGCTTACGTACGCTCGCCAACTACTCTTCTGCATTCTCTGGTGTGGACCTAGTTGCAGAACGATATATGCTCATCCCGCTTTGTCCTAGGGCTCCATTTCAGAGCGCGTATAATAGCAAAGCAAAAAGTAGTGGTCAAAGTTATACTGACAAACACAAGAGGCACTGGAATCGTCACTTTTTGTTTACAAATGAGAGTAAGTCAACTGCACCCCAAATGAGGGCTTGGATAAACCGATCGCAGCCAGCTGGATGCCGGGTGCACGGTTTAGCAGTAGAAATAAGATACAGTTGGTTGACAACGGCTAGTAGGACCAAAAGGACATTCCAGTTTTTTTCTGTCTGGTTCTGTATTTGTTATAAGAACCTTGTTGAGCTGGCAATGCAAAGAGCGTCTGAAACCCAAACTGGCCGTGACATAAACACGCTCTCAGTAAAGACCACTAGCTGAAACGATGGGAGGGAAGCAAAGAACGTTAGAGGCGAAATATACTTTTCAGTAAAAAATGACGTGAAAATCTGGTAATCAGGATGAAACAACGGGCTTATAACAGTCTGTCCATCTCAACAGCTGGACAGAAAGTTTGATCAATCAATGCTATGCCGTACTCCTGACATAGATACTAGCTAAAGGCCCAGACACGTGTTTCCCCGATGTTTCTGCTACTTCATGATATGGCAACGAGAGGTTTGGCTCCTCAGTGGGTTCCCCAGCGTTTTCTGGTATATGGCTTCCAGATACTAATCAAGGGAATAATTGGTCTGGGAATTATAGTTCAAACGCACTGAGTACAGTTGCTGAGGAATGGGAGGGGGTGATTATGCCCAGGAGTTTTTACCCAACAATAACAAACAAGGCAAAGATGGCCGGGATTTGGTGTGGAACCAGTGACTGATCTGATACAAAATCTACGCCTACGTGTGACACGTGCTGGGGGCCTCACTACACATGAACCACAGTATCAGCTTCCCTTGAAGTCTGACTCTCATTCCGGGGGTGAGGGGTCAAGTTATTCCGTCGTCTGCTTTAAAATAAGTCACAAGTCTAACCACTATAAAAGTAGACACAAGATTGGCTGCATTCTTCCCCCTTCCATGCTGTTTCAGTGTTAACTTAAACGTGATAGAAGACGCGAGGGGGACAACTATCTGGAAGGACAGGTGAGCTATCACGCAAAGATAGACATTGTCAAACATGGTAAAAGTTAGCTTCACATCACAAGTCTGGTGGAGAGGAAAATAAAGTGCTGAATTGTGGATGGAGGAGAGTCAAACACAAGCAGACGCGATAGCCGACATAGTTGCATATAAAGAGACGTACTCGGACTGAAACCGCACATTTTAGCCAGCTGCTGTCTCACTGTAGGCAAAGCCAACAGGGCCAAAAAGGAGCGAAACGAAGACGCAATCATAGCTTCAGTTTCGCTGAGTGGAAAAGGGGCCACTTTGTTGTCAGCCCCCGAGGACAAGGCTTGTTCTTCAGCCTGACAACTTGGCTTGCCGGCCCAAAACCAGCCATAATACAGCGGATATATTGGTTCAAATTGACGGACCTTAGATGCAATTACAGAAGGAGGAACCTGGTGCACGTTGCGGGATACTAGGGCATTCACGTCAAATCGCCAGGGTGTCTTTGGTGTTACGAGGATGACGTTGTAGTCAAACTTTCTGGCCAAATCAAGATAGTAGCGACACTTCCAAAGTCGAATGTTTG